ATCTATGCACATGGACACCGAGATCTTTCTGCTCATCCACACTACCATTAGCCCAGTACTCTGTATTCCTGTTACTTCTTCCAAAGTGAATCACCTCACATTTTTCCGCATTAAACTCCATTTGCCACCTCTCAGCCCAGCTCTGCAGCTTATCTATGTCCCTCTGTAACCTGCAGCATCCTTCCGCACTATCCACAACGCCACCAACTTTGGTGTCATCCGCAAATTTACTAACCCATCCTTCTACGCCCTCATCCAGGTCATTTATAAAAATGACAAACAGCAGTGGCCCCAAAACAGATCCTTGAGGTACACCACTAGTAACTGAACTCCAGGATGAACATTTCCCATCAACCACCACCCTCTGTCTTCTTACAGCTAGCCAATTTCTGATCCAAACCGCTAAATCACCCTCAATCCCATGCCTCCGTATTTTCTGCAATAGCCTACCATGGGGAACCTTATCAAACGCTTTACTGAATTCCATATACACCACATCAACCGCTTGGACTACATATAGACGCCACCTCAAGGCCTTGAAGAAGTACCATCAACATTGTTTGAGGTGGATTCTCTGCATCAGCTGGGAGGACAGGCATACTAATACCAGCATCAGCCAATAGTACCAGCATCACGACCTTGATCATTTGAAATTAACTCCACTGGGCTGGCCACGTACTTAGGATGTCTGAGATCCAACTGCCAAAGCAAATCTTCTTCACCCTGCTCAAGGAAGGCACTTGAATGAGAAAGGACAAGGCAAGTGTTTCAAACACTCCCTGAAGTCTTCTCTCAGGAAATGCAACATAGATGTCAACACATGGGAGACTTGTTCAGAAGAAACTACTTGAAGAATGCTCTTGTAGGAAGGGACACAAAACTGTGAGAACACTTGTTGGCAAGAGGAAGCATGGAAAAGAAGCCCGAGAAAGAAATGCCAAAGATCTCAAGGCCAAGGACCAATTTCACCTCCCAGAAACACCTGCTAAATGTATGGTCAGAGATGTAGTTCTAGGATCGGGCTCATTAGCCACACAAGGACCATATAACCACTGATGTGGAGTTTTCTTGGTGGGTAACTGTAGTCTTTATTGACTGACAATGACAAGGACACAAAATACCGTTCACTTCTTCAAAGTAAAGAAGGCACTCAGTATAATGCACACGACATCTAGAGTATGTTATGTCAGTATTATAATTACGCAGCTCTTCCTTTAAGCTTTTTCCTATCTGGTTGAAGCACTGTAACTGCAAAGCTTAAAAAAAAACTTTTCATTAAGATCTTCCATCTCCCTGAAGAGGTGTCATGTCAATCTATATGCAACAACTTGCTCTGAAATCTCTGTTCACATTTGACAGCTGTTACAAATTCTACTATTGTATCTGAGGTAATCACAATATTCCAGAACAATCAACATTTTAAATCAAACAACACCCAGTTTTCTTTCAATAAAAATCAATTCACCACATCTCTCAATGTTATAGGATCCTTTAAAAAAATTCTAGGATTTAGACCTTTGCTAAAACCTATTCAGTTCTTCTTTGGTGTGAGACCAAGCCATTAGTTCAGCTGACTAAAGGTTTGGTCAAAGAGATAGGTTTTCAGTGTCTTAAAGGAGGAAACAAAGATGGAGAAGTGTCGGGAGGATATTCCAGAGATTGGAGTCGAGGCACTCTGGAGGCACAGTCTCTAAAGGCCAATATTAGAATTAGGCCAAATATCTGGGAGATTTGAAGAGATTACACAGATAGGGAGGGGCAAAGATTTGAAAAATTTGAAAACAAAGATCAGATTTTAAAATCAGGATGTTGCTTCACTGAGACACAAATGTATATCGGTGAGTACAAGGCTATGTATTGGGGAATAAGAGTTGTTGAGAGTTATGACATGTCCTGCAGAGCTTTGGATACTTCAGGCTTTTGGAGTGTAGAATGTGGGAGACTTACAGGGTGTGATAAAAGAGCAAAGAAAAGAACAAAGAAAATTACAGCACAGGAACAGGCCCTTCGGCCCTCCAAGCCTGCGCCAATCCAGATTCTCTATTTAAACCTGTCGCCTATTTTCCAAGGATCTGTATCCCTCTGCTCCCTGCCCATTCATGTATCTGTCTCGATACATCTTAAATGACACTATCGTGCCCGCCTCTACCACCTCCGCTGGCAACGCGTTCCAGGCACCCACCACCCTCTGCGTAAAGAACTTTCCACGCATATCTCCCTTAAACTTTTCCCCTCTCACCTTGAAATCGTGACCCCTATTAACTGAGTCCCCCACTCTGGGGAAAAAGCTTCTTGCTATCCAGCCTGTCTATACCTCAATCAGGTCCCCCCTCAACCTCCGTCTTTCTAATGTAAATAATTCTAATCTACTCAACCTCCCTTCATAGCTAGCGCCCTCCATACCAGGCAACATCCTGGTGAATCTCCTCTGCACCCTCTCCAAAGCATCCACATCCTTTTGGTAATGTGGCGACCGGAACTGTACGCAGTACTCCAAATGTGGTCGAACCGAAGTCCTATACAACTGTAACATGACCTGCCAACTCTTGTACTCAATACCCCGTCCGATGAATGAAAGCATGCCGTATGCCTTCTTGACCACTCTATCGACCTTCGTTGCCACCTTCAGGGTCCAATGGACCTGAACACCCAGATCTCTCTGTGCATCAATTTTCCCCACGGCTTTTCCATTTACCATATAGTTCGCTCATGCTGTGGAATAGTTGAGTTTAGTGATTATCGAGGCATGATTGAGGGTTACATTTGGCTGGGAAGACAACCGTTTGCAGCTTTCCCTCCAAGCCACACACCATCCTGACTATATTCCCATTTGTTCAATGTCACTGGGATAAAATCCTGGGACACGCTTCCGTCACAGAGTTCATTAGCAAATGTGTGAGGACTGTGTACCAAAGAAGTCAAGCCAAGTGTTCCCCAACCATAAACCTTGGATGAACCAGGAAATCCAGTGCCTACTGAAGACCAGACGTGCAGCATTTAAGTGGTGACCCAAACCAATACAGAAAATCTGGATATGACCTCCACAAGGCCATCAGGGAGGTTAAGAGGCAGTACCAGACCAAATTAGAGGCTCAGAACTACCAAACATACTCCCACCGCCTATGGCAAGGCCTAAACGACATTATGGGATATAAAATAAAACAGTGTAAGATAGCAGATGATGACACATCCCTCCCTGACATGTTCAATGCTTTCTATGCTTGGTGTGAGCAGAATACCACCAGCGTAGCGATGCCTGCCTCAACAGACCCGGACACACCTGTTTCCTCTGTCACCACTTCAGAAATCAGATCAGTTTTCCTGGGAGTCACCCCAAAAAAAGCGAAGGGCCCGGACGGTGTCCCCAGCCGAGCAGTCAGATCCTGTGCAGACCAACTGGCGGAGGTATTCACTGACAGCTTCAACCTCTCCCTCCTACAAGCCGAAGTCCGCACCTGCTTCAAGAAGACCACCATCATCCCTGTACCCAAGACAACACATGCCTTCAACAGCATTATCCCTTCCAGGCTGATCTCAAAACTGTGTTACCTTCATCTCAGCTCTGCCCTCTGAAACTGGATCCTCAACTTTCTGACCCATAGGCCATAATCAGTGAGGTTAGGTAACTGCACCTCCTCTACAATAACACTCAACACTGAAGCCCCCCCAAGGATGTGTCGTCAGCCCCCTACTGTACTCCCTGTACACCTACAAATGTGTTGCCAAATTCCTAATGAACATCATCCTCAAGTTCACAGACGACACCATCGTAGTGGGATGGATATCTAACAATGATGAGTCAAAATACAGAAGGGAGATACAGGACTTGGTAACGTGGTACAATGAAACAATCTGTCTCTCAACGTCGGCAAAACTAAAGAACTGATCATTGACTTCAGAAAGAAAGGAGGAGAACACGCCTCCATCTACATCAGCAGAACTGAGGTTGAGAGAGTGAAGAGCATCAAGTTCCTCGGAGGGACAAAAACCAACGACCTGTCCTGGATTTGCCACATAAATGCGACAGTCAAGAAGGCACAACAATACTGCCTCTTCCTCAGGCAGCTCAGGAAATTTGCGATGTCCATAAGGACCCACATCAACTTCTACAAATGCACCATTGAAAGCATACTGTCCGGGTGCATAACGGCTTGGTATGACAACTGCTCTGCCCAGGACTGTAAGGAATTACAGAAGGTGGTGTGCACAGCCCAGACCATCACAGAAGCCAACTTTCCATCCATGGACTCTATTTACACAGCTCAATGCCGCAGAAAGGCCGCCAACAACATCAGAGACCCATCGCACCTGGTAATGACTTACTACAACCTCTCCCATCAGGCTGAAGTTACAGAAGCCTGAACACACGTTTTTCCGGCCATTATCAGACTGTTGAATGGACTGTAGTCTCAAATAATGCTTGCTGTGATCTGCGTGTACTGCTCGTAAACAAAGCTTTTCACTGTATTTCGGTACACATGACAATAAATCAATCGGTCAATCTGATACATTGTGAGTGTAACCTGCACCAAATGGACTGCAGTAATTCAACGACCAACTTCTCAAGGGCAGTTAGATAAATGCAATATATTTTAAGCAACGCTCACATTCCATGAAAAAGGACAGAAACAATAGTTGAGGCAGGAGATAAAGTCACAGAGGTGATTACAGGCAATCTTAGTAATAACACAAATATAAGGCTGGAGTTCATCTTGGGATGAAAAGTGATATCAAAGCTGCAAACAGATTGGCTTAACCTCAGACTGTTGCCAGGGAAGGGGGTAGACAGGGACTGTATCTAGGGAATGGATTTTGGACTAAGACCAATAGCTTCAGTCTTCCCAACATTTCATTGGAGGAAATTTCTGCTTATCCAGTAGTAGATGCAAAAAAACTTAGCATCTTTGGTGGAATTAAAGGAGGCATTGGTGAAGCAGACAATAAACAGGGATGTAGAAATACTGCGTGCAGATTGCTTCATAGAGATCTGAATGGTGGCAGGGATGGATTACTGCAATCTTTTAAATGAAAGGAAACTTAAAGGTTAGCCAATTTGGATAGCTAATACCTCTTATAGGATGGAAGCCTCCATTTGAAAGTTTTTTGTTGATGCCCAAGTACACCTTCAATTTATAGTCATTAGGCTATTTGATTTTATAGTAAGATTTTGGCATATATGTAGTGAGTAAAAGTTTCCAAGATGTAGTGTTCAACAATAAACTAACCTTGTTTGTAAATAAGACAAATATTAATCACAGACCTATTCTGAGCTTAGGTAACCATCAATGGCTTCTAAGCCTAAATCCTGGTCTGATAGAATACATAATCAATTACTCAGATTCCAGTTAAGTCAGTGTTCTCTGGGAAGGATTTAGAAAATATATAAACATTTTATCTGGTTCATGAGGGTTACAAAATTTGATTGTGGCAGTGGTTGGCACTGCAGTAGCTTATAGAATCACAGAAGTGTTAGAATACAGAAGGAGGCCATCAGCCCATTGTGTCTGCACCAACTCTCCAAATGAGCATCAATGGTTTAGTGGAATTCTCCTGTCTTTTCCCCGCACCTTTGCTCATTGTTTCTATCCAAATAATCATCAATGTCCTCTTAAATGCCTCACTTGATCCTGTCTCCACCATACTTCCAGGTAGTGTATACCAGACCCAAACCACTTGTTTGCGAAAATGTTTTCTTCTCACATCCCATTTGCTTCCTTTGTAAATCACTTGAAACCTGTACCCATCTCTTCATTCATTTTTTGAATGGGAATGGTTCAACCCTATCTTCTGTATCCAGCCCCCTCATGATTTTGAAAACTGTTATCAGATTTCCTCTTGACCTTCATCTCTCCAAGGAGAACAATGACAATAAATCTCTTCAATCTATCTCACAACTCAAGCTTCTCATCACTAGAACCATTCCTGTAAATCACTTTGGCACTATCTTGAATATGTTCAGATCCTTCTAAAAGTGGGCATCCAGAACTGTACAGAAAACTCCAGATGAGGTCTAAAAAGTGTCTTATATACCTCCCTTGCTCTTGTACTCTGTATGACTATTAATAAAGTCCAGGATACTATATGCTTTATTAACAGATTTGCCCCATCTGACCTGCCACCTTTAATAATCTATGTCCATTTCCACCCAAGTTTTGAGCTCTGGTTTTAACAATGACTGCACATGGGAACCCATGTTTCACATGAAATTGATTCAGTTAAAATACTGTTTCTCTGTAGTGTAATGACAACTTTAAGTGAGGACTACCTACTGATTACTGTAATGTTAAGAAAAGTAGCCAAAATGGTGTCACTATTTAAGAAAGGCTGTAGGGAAAAGCCAGGGAACTATAGACTGGTGAGCCTTACATCAGTGGTGGGTAAGTTGTTGGAGGGGATTCTGATGGACAGGATTTACATGCATCTGGAAAGGCAAGGACTGCTTAGGGATAAAAACTGAAAGAATTGCGGATGCTGTAAATCAGGAACAAAAACAAAGTTGTGAACCCTGAGGAAGGGCCACTGGACCCGAAACGTTAACTCTTTTTTCCTTCACAGATGCTGCCAGATCTGCTGAGCTTTTCTCGAAACTTTGTTTTTGTTACTGATTAGGGATAGTCAACATGGTTTTGTGCATGGCAAGTCGTGTCCCACCAACTTGATTGAGCTTTTTGAGGAGGTGACAAACAAGATTGATGAAGGCAGAGCAGTATACGTTATCTCTATGGACTTCAGCAAGGCGTTCGATAAGGTTCCACATGGTAGACCGGTCAGTGAGGTTAGATCACATAGAATCCACGGGAAGCTAGCCAAATGGATACAAAATTGGCTTGAAGGCAGGAAACTGAAGATGGTAGTGGACGGTTGCTTTTTGGGCTGGAGGCCTGTGACCAGCAGTATGCCACAAGGATCAACGCTGGGTCCAGTGCTTTTTGTCATTTATATAAATGATTTGGTTGTGAATATAGGAGGCATTGTTAGTAAGTTTGAAGATGACACCAAAATAGGTGGTTAGTAGACAGTGAAAAAAATTATTTCTGAGTACAATGGGACCTTAATCAGATGGGCCAATGGGCTGAGGAGTGGAGTGTGGAGTTTAATTTAGATAAATATGAGGTGTTGCATTTTGGTAAGACAAACCAGGGCAGGACTTATACATTTAATGGTAGGCCCCTAGGGAGTGTTGTCAAACAAAAAGACCTAGAGTTGCAGGTGTTCCTTGAAAGTGGAGTCACAGGTAGACAGGGTGGTGAAGAAGATGTTTAGTACACTTGCCTTCATTGGTTAGAACATTGAGTATCGAAGTTGGGATGTCATGTTGCAGCTGTACAGGACATTGGTGAAGCCACTTGTGGAATACTGCATACAATTCTGGTTGCCCTTCTGTTGGAAGGATGTCATTAAATTTGAGAGGGTGCAGAAAAGATTTACAAGGATGTTGCCAGGACTAGAGGGTTTGATTTATAGGGAGAGGCTGAATAGGCTGGGGCTTTTTTCTCTGAAGCATCAGAGGTTGAGGGGTGACCTTATAGAGGTTTATAAAATCATGTGGAGCATGGCTAGGGGGAATAGCCAAGGTCTTTTTCCTAGGGTAAGGGAGTCCAAAACTAGGACTAAGGTGAGAGGGGAAAGAGTTAAAAAGAACCTGAGGGATAACTCTTTTATGCAGAGGGTGGTGTGTGCACGGAAACATGAAGACAGATTATGCAAAAAGACTGAAGTTATTATTTTTGGGAAAAGTCAGATGGACTGCAGGGTCTTTTGTGGATGATCATTTTCCTTTGCTGAATTTAATTATATTCTCAGGCACCACCTAAATGTCAAGTGAAAATGCACTTACATTCAAATTTCTCAAATTACTTCACCTAAATGGTAAGGAAAAATTTAAAGAAAATATTTGTAGTTCAAGGCATTAACCCTTGTTATGTAATATTCTTTGCAGAAGTTTATTTTGTAACACTTTTTAAACATTAAGTTCATCTTAGAAATGGAGATTCACAAATAGTTCCCCCACCCCCAAGTTGCTCTAGTGCTGTCAGATTTTCCAGCCAGCAACATAATTTCCAGGCATTGTGGCAACCCTTAATCCAGGCCCACTTGGGCAGCTGGCCATAGTTAACGTCAATGGAGCAGCTAGGGTGGGAAACCGCTTTTTGGTAAAAAGAAATGAAGACAATTCAAGTAACCCTTTGTACCTTGAATCAAAGTACTGACTTCTACATTTTGTTCCCATTTAATACCTTTAAAGAGGCAGTCTGTTCATGATTAGCTTACATTTTCACTCTGATCTTGTGTGGATACGCTAAGTAAAACTAAAAATGTTGATAGTGAGGTGAAGTAGTCATCTGAAAATAGGGTACTTACTCAATAATTTCTCCTCATGGAGACATGAAGCTCGTAGTTTCCAGTACAGCAGCTTCAAGGTATTCATTCTCAGCTTTAAATAAAGTAATAGATCTCTCAATATTTCAATTCAGCTCATTTTGGAAATGTTTCAGATATTGCATACAAAATGCATTTTCATTGGCTGCTATATTATTTTATTCAATTACATCATTCATTATAGGATGTGAAGAATTCAAACAAAGATGTCTCAAAATAATGTTTTGTCCTGCCAAATATCCTGTTATACAGTCAGATTGCAATATTTTGACATTTTCATTGTGTCACAAAGGGAATCTGAACGTTGTATAACAGAATTACCTAATACAACAGTTATGAAACCAGGGTTTCATAAAGATTAAGAATGTTACTTGTACAGAGTCATTCCCAATGTTGAAATATTGTGGAAGATCAATCAGTTTTATATAGATTTTTAGAGTCAATTTACATTCTTAAATATCTTAGTAATCTGTCTATTCAATTAATATGAGAGGATATGCTATTTTCTAAGAAACAGAGCACAATGAAACACCATGTGCTAATCTTCTGAAGTGTAACTGTGTGTTCCTCTTTGGTTACAAACCAAATGCAAGTTAGTCATTTCAGCATTTATAAAATTACCCTGCGTGTATGAAACAAAATCACTTCACTGATTTAAGGGAAGTTTCTGCTTACAGAAAAAAAATAGTAATACCTCTTTACTCTCAGCAGAGACAAAATTTCCTTTAGGCATTCCACACACAAGCTGATTGGGGAAGCCCCCAATTGAAATGGAAAATATGAAATATTCAAACTGATATTATTGTTTAAACAACAAATATCCCAGCATACTATTGGAAAAATAAACATTTAAAACATGTTGAAATAGGCAAAGAATTCAAATTTCTTCTCACTCACTCTAATTCCTGCCTATTCTTCCATCTCTCCTCCCACTCATTGCCTGTCTGAGTGCCCTCATCTTCCCCAATTACTTCTTGACCACTCCAACATGCAGTCAAATGCCCTTCTTTATTCTGCCCGTACCTGCTGTCTTCTACCAAGTTGCTTACATGTCTTGAAAGATCCATGGGTTTCACCCGATCATTATTGTTATCTGTACCCAAGGATTCACCGTTGAAGACCACATCATTAAACCTTTAACATGTCAAAGCTGGTTTTCACCTCATCTACTTGACTACAAAGGTAATGACCATAGCCATGTTGTCTGATGTGGGCTGACATTTATTGAACTTCAAAGAATGCAATAGCTGTTCCTGTAATTCAATTTTTGGCAGGAAGCTTCCATGCATTAGGCTTCCAAGCCTCTGCAGTTGATCGTTGGCGGATAACCTAATTTGCATTTAATTTTGCATAAAGCAAATGACTGACATGATGTATGCCAAGCAATGCAACTTTTATAGCTTATCAGGTGGAACAAAAATACCATCCAGAGAGGGCACAGTTCTGTGATGGTTTCTGAAGAGTTGGAGGAATTTTACATGGACTCAAGCTATGACCTAAACACTTCGATCCCAGTAAGACTGAATCATTTATAATCACTGGAGATTTTTCACAGTAATTTGAATGATGCATTTTTTTATTGGAGACCATCACAAAATGTTGAGGTGATATCTAGATGCAGAAATACAGTCACAGCCATGATCATATTGAGTGTGCTCATGATCCTTTCATGACGAAACAATCCATCATGCCTGTATCTCTCTTTTTAAAGATGGAATGAATACAAGTCTTCAGTATCATTCACAACATGATGCATGATTGTGAGTTAGCAGGCCCACAATGAGGATGTTAGCAGTGGAGACAGAGCAGTAGTTATTTGATCTGAAACTGAGACTTAACAGAATCTTGTGACATTATTGAGGACCCTCGGTCTAAATCTATTCACTCCTGTTGGGTCCATCCTGCCCGTAGAACGTGTATACTGGTAGAGAAATCTGAAATGTTAGCTGCTAAATATGACACTGTCAGGCTGTTGATAGAATAGTCTGTTGGATAGCTCAACCAACATGAACAGTAATCCCAACATGTTAGTGAGAAGGATTTTATAAAGGGACTGGGATTGCTCATTTTTTTTAGGTCCAATGTCTGGATTATGGCTTAAACTTCCTTCTGCTACTGTTATGATTATTTTCTACTGATTGGCTTGCTAAGTGAATTTAGGGAACATTAATAACCAACCAGAATGGAGTCTCATCTATGTTGGTTAAGGAAAGCATGAAAGGTTCCTATTTCTGAAGGACAGTAGTGACACTGTTGGTTTTTTATGATAATCTAGCAACTTTAATAATGATTTACCACATTTAATTAAATTGCACAGTTTACCATAATGGGAAGAGATTCTAGAATGGATTTTGAAATTACAACCTCTGAGTTCCCGGTTTAGCTCCATAAGCATTACATGTCACCAAGTGCTACATAATATACTTGTGGCTAGAAGCAAGGGTGGCTTGATGAGGAGAATGATATCTTGATTGATTGGAGCAACAAAGAAATTAGGTTGTGCTTTGGAATGTTAAGTACACTTCCTGGGCTTTCAAAGAGAGGATGGTAATCGAAAATCATAGAGAATTAGCCACTGTGGAGTGTAGCCGATCACCTTTCTCCAATGCATCATTTATGCAGTTTCGGTATGTTCTCTGATTTACTATGTGCAATGCCACAGGAAAGTGATTAATATTTTATACCCAGCATGTATTCCATCAGAATCCAGATGACACATTTTATTAAAAATTCAAAATAAATAACTAAGTTTAATCCAGGAATTTATAATCACTTTGCACCCTAAAATATCAACTCACAACAATTAAAATCCAATTAACCTGCAGACCTATTAGTTTAAGAAGACACTGATTATATTAATAGAAAAACAATACAATGTGACTGACATGGCAGAGCACTTCCGACATTATAAAAAACTGCATCATTCAAATTACTGTGAAAAATCTCCAGTGATTATAAATGATTCAGTTTTACTGGGATTGAAGTGTTACGCTACAGCTTGATTTCAAGATAATGTGATGTTAAATTCCTTCCCAATCCACAATAATCAGTGCCACTTCTTACAGTGAATAAAAAGTTAAATTTATTTTTATTAGATAGCCAATAGTTGGTTTATTATGATAGCTTCCTAAATCAATTTCAGTAATTTTCTGGGGTTTCACGATCTTTTAACTTGTTTTAACTTGTGTCTTGAGGATTGCATTCTGTGTTTCTGTCAATTTCTCTTTGAAACCCCAAATCATTGTCTTACAATAATATGTTCATTAGCCTATTGCATTAGTGTCAATATTTGAAAAAAAAAGTCTTCATATGATAATTTAGCATTTTTCTGAGAGGGAAACCTTAACTGGCATCATACGTTTCACTATATTTCCCGGCCAGAAGATTCACTATTAATTCTATTTTGAGATTTGTACATGCACATAGCATTGGTACAGGCAATATTTTGATTACTTTTAAAACTACCTGAATTGACTATGGCAATTTTTTTACAGGCAAATATACTGTTCAACATTGTTAAGAGCTCAAAACTGTCAGTTTCCAATTGGCCACTCACTTTATACATTATTAGATTATCCTTTCTAACAAAAATTGACTGGCATGTATAGCAGACAGCCAGTCCAACAGTTTGAAACCTCAACTGAAGATGGATGTTCATTCCATAATTTCATCTGTGAATATGTCCAATAAAACTCGTACTCTATCAGAGAGACTTAATTAATTGATTCATTGTGTTTAGTGATAGAGCAGTTGAAATTTAGAAGAGGCACAGTGGACAAGCTCAACCACGTGAAACGTTTGCAATTATTGTACACAGAAAGGACAAATCTCGTTTAAAGGTAAGAGTGCTTCTGGAACAAATTTGGACTGACACATTTGGACTTATTCCATTAACTGTTCAACCATGGATTTAAAATAGTTTGATGTGAAACCCCTCTTGCACTTTGGAAACTGTACTCTTTTAGTCAAGGTCAGGGATATCGAAACCAAAACCCACCGGCTTTGGCAAACAAGTGCTTAAAGCTGAATTAACATAGTCCTACTTGCATTGAGGTTTTTAACTTACTGTTCTGTTCCCGCTTTGTGATCTGAAGGTTTGAAAAGAGCTGATCTTACTGTTGTTGCCTCATTGGTGGGTAAATCTCAAATCAAAACACTAAGATTGTCAGAATCAACAACTTAAAGTATATGCAAATTAACGAGAACATTTCATATAAAAATTACGTGCTCCCAAGTAAAAAGCTCGGCTATTCCACACCAGGTATTTTGTTTCCCAATTAGACAATTTTTAAAAATGGATTAATTCTACACCACTCATCCTTCAATTGTTTCTTTGTTTAGTTTTCGAATGTATAAATTACATATTGTAAAAGGGCTTCTAATTTACCCTCATATCTTAAGCAGCTTTTAGTGACTTTAAAAATGCAATAAAGCACGCTTCTGCCTACACGATGTAGTTTATAAATGATTAAAATCTCACCGTGACAATATGACATTAGAATAAAACTGTAGATTCAAAGTACTGAAAAGTAGATCCATGATTATTTTATAACAATATCAGGAAAATCAACTTTTCTACATTAAATGAACAGAAGAAGAGCGTTAAGAAGCATTTTTCTCGTTTATGCAGCGCATAGAATTACTGCCTCACACTCTCTATAATCTATTTGCTTTTCCAGCTGGATTCTGCTTGGATACAAATGGTCAGAACTTTCACCCCGCCCGCCCCCACCCACAAACTTACTTCTGTTACACCATGGGAACTTTGTATGAGGGCTGCTGCTGTGCATTCAAACAGGCTCCCAGGCAAAATCCGGTGATAATCTAATAGTAGTAACAAATTCAAGGTCATACATTCAACATTTACTTCCATCCCATGCTGCAACGGCTTTTGATGAATAAATACAATGACAAACAGCTTCTTATTAATCATTGCCTACGTATACTGCATGGAATCTTAGCTAATCAAAACTGGAAATGCTCATCTGACTGATATCGAATTATAATAACTTGAAAGAGTGTGTACAACTGGTTAAATATTATAGACAG